CTCTCCCCTCCCCTTTCTCTCTCTCTTTCTCTCTCCTCGTACCTCCATCTGTCCCATGCCTTTCTTTATCTGCCTTTAAAGCAGAAGGCGGGAAAAAGACTAGCTGATCCTTTGTGCGGCCGGCCTCAGTTTGTGCTCAGCCAAGCGGACACAGCTCTTAAATCCAGACCCGGGCCTTTGGCACAAAAGGAAGGCAGGTCTTGTAAAGGCCCCTACGGCTCTCCCTATCTCTTTCTACCTTTCTCTGAAAAAGACAGACGGCCAGTTATTCTAACAGGAGGATAAGAGGGGACAAAATGGGGGGGAACAAGATGCCGATGCTAAAAGGAGCGAACATAATTCTCTTCATCAGAGAAGCAGCAGCAAAGACTTTCTTTACTCCCTCACTAAAACTCTCTTTCCCTAAGCATAGCAACACTGGAGTTTTTTTTGTATCCCCATTTTCTCCTTCAAGGCGAATGAATTAACTGAATGAATTAACACCAGGGCTGCTGTGATCATCATCATCATCATCGCGCTTCTACTCATCAGCAGCAGCAGCTTTGACGAAGCTTTTTAACACCTACAAGGATCACACTGCTGACGCCGAGGCAGGAAGAAGCAAAGATGTCGACAACCTTGTCACAAAAAAAAGAAAAAGGAGGAAGAAAAACTCTCAACTAGCAAGGTATCACTGTCTGAGTGCTACAGTCTTCAGCCCAGAGCCTTGTCAAGTCCCTCGGCACTACTAAAGAAACCTCACTGCTGATGATGATAGGAAAAGTGGAGGAAGGGGGGGGAGCAGGTGAGACGGGGAAGGGAAGGAAAGGTGGGTAAAGACAAGAGTCAGATACAAGAGAGAAAGAAGAAGAAGAAGGGAGAGAAAAGGTGAAGAGGTAGAAAGGTGAGGAAGAGGATGAGAAGAACAGGAGGAAAGAAGGTGTTTAAGTTGTTGATCACGTCTTGAGAGAAAGAAAAACAGACAAGAGAGAGTGACAGGGCGACAGAGGAAGCAGAGAGATATCGGAGGAGAGGAGGGGGAGTCAAGGAGGCTGCAGTGAGGATTTTAATTAGCAGTAATTGGCCACCGAGGGAACAGAAACTGGGAGATGGGAGGCAGGAGAGGGAAGAGAGGGAGCATAACAGCCAGTTTCTGACAGAGTGATATCTCTCTTGCTTTGTACCTCTCTATTTCCTTTAGCACTTTTTGTTCCTGGGCCTTTCCATCTCCGTCTTGTTTTCCCTCCATCTTTTTCCACCTCCAACTGTGCTTACTCCCCAAACAGCATCCTTTGCTGTCTACCAACTTCCACCCAAAATACCAGACACTGCAAACAGGAAGTATTTGGGGCAACATTTAAGCAATATGTGCAATTAATGCTACAAAGTGTTGCCCATTTAACTGAGCTACTGAAATCCAGAAAAAGAAATGTGACTGCAAAGGTGTACAGCTTTGTGGTTAGGGTTCTTTTTTTTTTCATATTTTATTTATTACAGTATTCCAAATAATCTCAAAGCTACTAAAATAAACATGTTTTTGTTATGTTTGAAATTTCTCAATTAAGGCTCAAATATAATAGGGAATTTTACTTTTATCCTGGCCCCAACTTTCTGTTTGGGTTATTTTTCACCGCTCTGATCGGCATTGTTTTCAGCTGCAGCTGGCAGCTTGTTAGGTAAAAGGGTTTGGAAATCCTACTCTAGTCTACCTGCTCAGCAGACAAAGAAAGAAAGGGACTAGCTGGTAAATATAGCGCAGCAATTCGCAGTTGAGATATTTTTCTAAGGACCAAAAACAAAGCTTAGAGAACGGATATAGCTCTGTAAGACCTATTTTAAATGCCTAACTGCACCTGCCAGACATATAATAAATCTGTATTACCTTGGAAAAATATTAAGCTGTGCAGCTGACTGCCTTGAGAACTTCATGTCTAATACTTCTTATGCACTGTATTTGTAGACCTGTGATGGTTCAGTTCCTATCCAGAATAAAAATGAAATGTTGTCAAGGTTGTAAGTCTGCATTGACTTCACTAACGCAGGGTGCTGCCTTCACTGGATGTGAATACGAATCTGACCTTATGTTGTCCCTCTCTTTGTCTTTACCCCGGCCCCTGACACCTTCCCTCCCCTGTGTAGTTGTCTGGGTGTGTTGTATATGTGTTTGTTGGGGAGCGAGGGCCGCATTGGGAACACGTTCACAGGGTTACAGCTGTGTTAATCGGTACACAGGTGAGCTTTGGGGCTCCGGGTCGCCTGGACAACACTTACGGCCCACACTCCCCTGTCTGGAAACCACAAAACACACACAAGCGCACACCTACACATGTGCACATCTAACAGCACGCAGCTGGCTCTAAAGTGATCTGAGGAAGTCCTTCTAATTAGAGGTGCTTATTTGCCCCAAAGTTGACATATTGCTATAGCTGCCTTCATGTGTTGGTTATCACGTGAGTTTAGGCAGGGCCTTCTTGAAATTTCCCAGCTGTCATTTGTCAACATCCCCAAATTGCATGTGACTCTTGCTAAACAGCAGTGGTAGTGTGCCGCGCACCCCGGGTGTTGCTAGGTTACGATAGTGGGATGCTGCTGTCTAAGTGGCTGCGGGATCGTCTGCGGACACTTTGCACGGAGGGCTGACAGAGGGTCCTCGGGACCATTTGGCAAATTCTGAGTCACACGCTCTTTAAATTCCACATCTGGTGGCAAGCCCATACAAATCAAGATCAAAGTGTTGGCTCTGAGATTGGACCTGTCTCTCAACCTCCCTGCCTCGCTCCTGTCGAGCTTCATTTTCATATATTTCTCTTATCCACGGCGGTTCACAGCCTTCACACAGTCCTCTGCCTGCTTTGTTATCCCTCCTCTGCTTTCCCTGTGTTGTTGCTGTCTTGCCTCACGCCCCCCTGCTGAGAGGTAATCAAGCCCTGTTGTGAGTGTTTAAGCATCGGAGCAGACGCATGTTGAATTATTCTTGGGACTTAATATTTTGTCTGAGCGGAGAGAGCCAGTCTCCATACCGCATGCTGGGTAACAGCCACGCACACATGAATGCACCCACACCCACATACACCGTTAGTCAGTCAGTGAGTCGGAAAGATAGTCAGTCACACAGATGTCCAGCTGACAGATACTTACAGGTAAGTGAGTGATGGGACCTGACAGGCAATCAACACACTGAGTGTACTACACTCGTATGCAGGTAAACTCAGTATTTATACTACCAGATCACGTGCATCAACATTAGAGAGATACAAATGCACATAGGGACACATGTGACGAGCAGCAGCATCCCCTCCAGGTATTTGCATTACAGTTAACATCCACAGAGTTAACCAATAAAAGCAGAACAGACAATTTAAGATCTCATCTCCTCACTAATTCCCTCTTTTCTTAGCTACCCTCACATCCGTCCCCTCCCCCATGCCACTTCATTTTATTTGTATTTCTTTCACCACTCTCCCAACTGTATGCTTATCTATGTCTTCTACTCCTGCTCTCTGTTCTGCCTTGAGCTGGCCTTTATCCTCGCCTCTCTTGACTTCTTTTCCTCTTCTTGTTTCGCTGTGATCTTAAACTCTCCATGGAACCATAAGCTGATATCACACAGACTCAGTTTTACTTTAATCTTTCTCAAACACACACCCACGAAACACACCCGGGTGGTCATTATATAATACTGAATTTGGTGACAGCATATTTGCAAAACATTTTGGTGCTGTGTGTGAGTGTGTGCGTGCGTGCGTGCGTGCGTGCGTGCGTGCGTGCGTGCGTGCGTGTGTGTGTGTGTGTGAGTGTGTGTGTGTCATTACAGTGATTGACATTAGCATGGTTAGCTTCTTACAAAATATAACGTTTAATGTTTATAATTAAGGGGGAGGAGGTGGTTCTATTTCAGTGTCATAGGAACTCTTTGAACCGTCACACTTTGCATTTGGCAAGTAAAATTCTGAGTGTAACTATTTCAAAGACTTAAATTATAAACAATCCATCACGTTAGAATGATGTACTCCATTTATTTAGCATTGCACTCTATTAACGTTGTCAGACTCACAATGGACATTTAGGAAAAGGATCAAAATCAATACAGCAGAAACTGAGATTGTGGCTGTGTTCCAACAGCTGCCCTAACAAAGAATATACTGTTGCATGCAATATGCAGATAGAAAACTTCCTCCGAACATTGTGCCTTGAACCTTGAGGCTCTTGCTCCTACATCCTCTCCGCAAATAATTGTGGGTAAGAAGAGCCAGAAAAGCTTGTATTATACAGCAGGACATCCTGGTATTTCAAGCATGCATTTCAAGCACCTACATTTCCAATTTAAGAAATCCAATGTAAGTTTTACCCCCTAAATATTAACCATGATTGATATTATCAGGGCGATCCCGTTAACAGCTTCACAGATTCAAAACTGAATCATTGAACCCCTCACATCCATCTGGGACCAACATCAGTACCGTTAAAGGTCCCAGATCAGATATCTCCTCTGATTTTTGGTGGGATGAATGGAGGATAAATCTGCCCGAAACTGCTAGTCAGAGCCTGGCTTTTGGAGGTATTCTGCCATGTTGAAATGTCCTTCAGGGTTCTCTCATAAAACGAGATCGGAAGATTAGAAGTCAGGGAAGGTGAGTCAGTTTTTGGAAGTAAAACACCTTGGAAAGCTTTTTCTGTCATTTTGAATCTTCAGTTTTCACCACTTAATAATTGAGTGCCATTTACTTTGTTATAAATGGAAGGCAGTAAGAGAGATTATGGTGGAAATTAGCTTTTGCTGGTGCTTTAGTTTGGGTTGGAAAGGCCAATTCATTTAAGGGATAAAAAGTTCAGTAGGTTTTGTACATTTTGATGTAGAAGTATAACCCTCCTGATGCCCGATTTTACTTTAAAGTTGCCTTCATTTATGTTGTTGTTTTTCGCCATACTTTTATTTAGCTTTGTTTTACCTTTACGCTTTCCTACACATCCACACGGAGGTAGCTAGAAGTCACACAAACATGTACACACTTTGTACTCACACTTTGCTGGAAGGCCGTAGCCACACGTGATCTTGGCCTCTCCGGTCTCGCAGCCGTGAAGAGACGCACACTCCTGTTTCAGCATTGGCCCTGCAGCGCGGTGGATCGCCCCGTCCACTGGAGAGGAGAGGACAGGAGATTCAGAGAGTTGGCCTACTTAAGTAAATCCTCTTCAATTTGACCACTTAGGGTAAATGTTTGAAGTGCAGCAGAAACATTTACAGGTGTGAAAGCTTAGTGCAGAAAGGAGCTGCATCATGTGAGTATTAATGGCTGAATTTCCTGTCTTCTGCAGGTTGCTAACTTTTCACCCCAAATCCTTCTTTCTTCTTCCGTCTAATAAATCAAAGTCTCTCCGTGTGTCAGTCTATTTAATGGATTTAATGGCCACTGCCTTGGTTAATTACTCCACTTAATGTGTTATTAAGGACTCAGCTGACTTTGACTTTTTGGTCAATTAGTCTTTATTAATTACATTTTCATAAATCTGTATCTATCTTTGATCCACACCACATCTAAAGACCGTGACTGTGTTCATTTCCAGAAGGGCTATGATGCAGGATAAGCAATTTTACAGATGTGTCAATTACCAGTTGCAGTCACAATCCGTGCACCCCTTGCATGCAGTGAGACACATTTCCCTCAAAGTTAATATTTAAACTATCTGCATCTCAACAGCTGTGTTTTTGTGGTTCACAGCATTATGGCCTCTAGAAAGCAGCATATAACTTTAATGAAATTACACTTGAAGCAAATTCAAAGAAAAATAGAAAGAACAGATATGAATGCTATATCGCAAGAAATAATTCACCATTAAGAAACAAATCTTCAAAGCCAAAACTTTTTTAATAGAAAACGGGATTTCACTCTTTGTAATGAAGACAAATATTGGAAAAATATAAAATCCTTTTTATATTTTACAAAGGAAGGAAAAGAGGGAAAAGTTGCGCATTTATGCTGATGAAATACACATCATAGAAAGCAAGGAGTACTGAAAGATAGAATTTGAGTAAACAGATGATGAGTTCCCCTCTTCTCTTTCCTGTTCAAATGTACCATCAGGTTTGGTAATCACACTGTAGAAACAGAAGTCTGGATCAAACTACTTTATCAGAAAACGTATCTTAAAGTTTTTCATCTGGCATTTTAGGCCATTTTAGGTATGAAAGTCAGAGCTGACAAGAAACAAGTGACAAGAGATTTGAATGGGGAGTGACATCCAAAAAGTGGAGACATTGCACCGTAGATGTCAGACCACCAGCCCCCTTCTTTGAATGTATTTTTAGCCAACTCCAATTAGGCCCCATTGAAAACATCTTTATCAGTTTAATTGCGTATAACTTGGAATATTTTATCTCTATCTGAGAGGGAACTTAAGCTATTATCAATGCTCTCTTTAAAGCTACCAGACTCCTTTGGCAAAAACAGTCATTTCAGGTCAAAGGACGCTGCTTTGTTTATGTCTTTGTTTCACATTCTTGAATGCAAACTATCCATAAAAAATACCAAAGTCAGTGCCTGTTACCCTGTCTGCTTCTCTGAACTGGGGGTGTTACAATTGAATACGGCTGTGGATAAGTACCTACCATCCCATTTCAAAACTCAAAATGATCCCTTTAAACCTCTATAAGCCACCAGGGCCCCTGAGGATACTAATGAAATTGTTACCAAGATTGCAAAATGTTCATCTGAATGTAGCTGCGAAATGTCCACCACCAACATATTCCATTTGTCTTCCCTGTAAAATGTATTCAAAAATACATCTATGCCTAAGAGCTAAAGAATGAATATTTTATATGGTTATCGTTGTGCATATAAAGCACAAGAGTTCGGTTTGGATCTTCCTCTTGGTTAAAGCTGAATACAATATGTTCACTCTATTCATATTTAACCATAAACACGATCTTTCCCTAACTTAAACCAAAGTACTTTTACTTGTATTATCCATAACCACAGGCAAGACTCTGGATGTGAACGCTCACATCCTGCATGGAGTCAAAGTTGTGAGCGTTGTACGCCCACTCTCGCCCCTGACCGACACAATACAACTTGCATGCATAAACATTATTCTGGCAACAATTGAGTTTCCCTGTCAAAATAAATCAGTAGCTTACACTGTAAATGCCATATGGTTTAAACACTATCTTCACCATCACCAGCATTGTGTCCAGGTAAGATCCTGGCTGGAGACTCTTCACACTATTCTTTTTTAATGTAAGAGTCTGGTGTTAATAATTCAGTTAACCCAGAATAAAACACATCTGTCAGGAATGAGTTTGTCAAGGCACTGTGAGACTTGACAGCACTTGGTGAAAATAGTACAATAACACCCATCCATATGTCACAGCTCAGCGTGTTGGCCTGTGGCTCTATATCTCCGCCTTGCCGTATACGGACCAGCTGTTGCAGTGATGTGTTCCTCTAAACCGAGTATCTCTGGGCGGGGGTCTGGAGTTATCCGAACGTTATTGTGTTAAGTTGGCATATCACATGCCGTGCTAAGCCATAGTGTGCCATGTCATGCTGTGCAACGTTGAACTGGGCCACACTGTGAGCTAAGCACAAGTGTGAGGTTGTGAAAGACGAGCTCTGAACACTGGCTAACTCCTCAGGGTGCACAGAAACAAGCTCAGATACCATGCTCACGCTGTGTGTGTCACCTCAAGGACTGTTCTCACACACACACACACACACTTTGAAGCGGCCCGACTCTGAAATAAAGTACAAGTGTGATAAGACGGAGAGCTGGAAAAGAGAAGGAGGGAGGGAGGGAGGGGAATAAGGGAGAGAGCAGCAGATGTAAAAATAGTCTGAAGGGAGATAAGGGAACAGGCAGAAAAACAGAATCAAAAGAAAAATAAATGGAAATTGAACTCAAACGTAATTATCAACAATACCCTTTCTTTTTTCATGCTTTGTGTTTTTGCTTTTGTGTGTGTTTAATGGTGCACACATCTCTTCATAGGCTCACACATACATGTTCGTGTGGTTGCCAATACACACAATATGAAGCATGTACACATACACAACAACACACTTAAAAGCTCATATGCGTGTGTGCACATACAGCCAAACATGAGATTAAGTAACACGTGTCCCTGCACAGAAAATCAGTTGGAAAGAAAATGAATGACCGTAAAGGACGGGTGAACAGTTATCCCCGCATGTGGTGTTTCCACATGTTACTTTAGCAATTGTGTTTCTCAGTATGACTCCCGACTCTCAATCAGTTAATAAGTGTTTTGTTTACAGTAGGAACATTGCACTGACCCAATTATAAATGATTTGTTCTTATAATACAAATTAACTATGCTTAGCCTTCAGGATTAGGAACAAAACATAATGGGAATTATCACGGTTTGGGTTAAATTTAAGACTTTGTTATGGTTTCGGGACCTTTGTCCTCATGGTTACAATAATAAGCACATGAGGTTCAGAAACAGCTGTGGTCATACTTTAAATACAAAGGTTCTTCTTAAGAGAGTTTCACTTTAGCCTTTGTTTTTCTCGCGTTTGAGGGGAGAAAGAATAAACTACTCTCTCTCCTGACACAGTCTGAACCTGGAGAGCAGGGGTAACAAATAACCATACACCTATTCAATCTCACCGTGACTCTCTTCTTCTTTAATATAAAGGGCTGTCCCTCTAACTACATTCACTGAAGACAGCCCATGTTACCTATCTTTCAGACTGCGGTTACTTCAGGCTCTGTGGGAGCTGGTGTCATAGCTCAGCATGAGCACTGCACGCTACTGAGTAGATTCACACACTGTTCCGTCACTTCAATGTGGTCCGAAATAGGAAGGGGGGATTCAAGACCAGAGGGGGGTGAAAATTAAAGATAGTTTGAAGTAAGGCTGCACCAGCAGTTCATGGCTGGCACACATGCAGGTGTATTAGTGCTCAAGGATGGCACTATTATATTTTACAGACCAGCCTCAACTGAGTCTTTTTGGGTAAAATACCTGAATTATGATTCATGAAATATTTAACTATGTGAAATTAATAACAAGGGAGAATTAAGAAATAGGGATGGAGTAATTTTTCGCCAATTATGACAACACTACTGGCTGACTCAATACTTGCAAAACTAATATATTCCTTTCAGCTGTACTTTAGTTTTAAGTGCAAATATGCAAAACTTAGCCCAATAACATTCTGAACCATGACGATGAACATGGTAAACTATGGAGTATATTAACACTGTTACTTTGATTATGTTAGCATGCTGACAATAGCATGTGGCTAAGAGACTACTGTGCCCCATAACAGCAAAGAAAAGTGTACATGCTACAGTTTTTTTGGAGAAATATTTTGGGCATCTATTTAAAGGTGGGGTAGGTAAGTTTGAGAAACCGGCTCGAGATACACTTTTTGTTATATTCCATGGAATGCTCTTAACATCCCGATAGCAATGAATATCTTAAGTGCTTTGACAAAAAATCCATACAAAAATGTCATCTGTGGAAGCCGTAGTACTGTAAAAAGCACGACCAATCATGTTAGCCGGCCCGGCTAAAGTAACTGGATGGCCTACCTGCCTGTCAGCCTTCCATCTGTGCACAAACTTATCTCGTGCCCTCATTGGTCATGTGCGCGTTCGTGTGTGTTGGAGGAGGGGCTCTGTAAGGAAGTGGCAGATTTTTTCCGGCTGTGTATTTTCAAATTCTAGCGCACTCGAGCTGGTTTCTCCAAAATTACCTGCCCCACCTTTAACAATTTAATAATGTGTAGCTAATGAGCCTAGCTAACTTCTTATTAGCAATGCTAACATCTATGCTAGTTAGCTACTGTTGACCTTCTCAATGCCTCTCCCTCTCCTCTTCCTACTACCTGTTTATTGGATTTAATCCTTGTTTCTGGGACTTCTGTGAGTTAGTAAGCATTAATCAGTTAAATTACACCTCCCATAAAGATTTTTATGTCTGATTGTTAGCTAACTGACTGTAACTGCAAAAAAAAACATCAACTGTTAGCTTTTTTTTTTTTAGGTTAAACACACAACAGAAGCAGCTTCCCACACTAACTATCAAACTAAGGCACGAAACATACTAGGCTTGTTTGAGACAAGCGAGACCTGCGCAATTTCGATCAACGTCTTGCTAGTGCGTTGCATG